GTTATCTCCCCAACTTTAGCTCTAATGAACAGTGGTTTCAGATGGCTCTTCATTGTCTCTGTTGGGGATTCAAAGAATGCATTTTGTTCTTCCACGCATTTATTGTTCATTATATAATAACATACTGGCTTATGTCTAGCCAGTTCCTGTTCAACCATTAGGTCAGTCTCTTCGACTTCGACCTCTCGGTTATATTCTTTGGGCAGGACATATATGACATTTACCATGATGTCCAAACTGTCACTACAGTCGGAGTCATCATTATTCGACCCACACTCTTCCGCATAGGGCATAGGATTTCTCTCCAGAGGTTTCCTTTGTCTTTTCTGCACATTGGTGCTAACTTCTGGATGGGGCCCAGCCGCCTCTTTCTCAGCTTTTCGCCGTCTTTGAAACCTCCTCTATTGTGAACGAGACATATGATTCTTTCCTTTATAATTTCTCGACACATGGGTCATTTTGTTCGATGCAGAGGCATGGTATTCCTTTTTGTAATCTAGAGAGGAACCTCTAGGTACGTCGAATGTCTGCCACTTTTCTTCATTTGGCCGTTTTCTTCCTATGGTGTTTATCCAGGTATCAGTAGGCACATTAGTTGGAGGCCTAAAAGTTGGTGGCCTCCTTTCTTGAGTCATGGGTCTTTGTTGATGTCCCCTTCTAGGGTCAAATCGAATTTCTGGACACATTTTTTGTTGGGCATTGGTACCCTGTTTTGCTTTTACAGCCCGCATCACCTGTATGTGTTTAACGGCCTTTTTATCAAAAATAGAGCTACACCTGGGGCATAGCATAACCTCTGATTTCTTCTTTTGGCATCTATGCAAAAAATCTGCCAAATTTTCATCCTCCTTTGGGAATGCAGTTTTATTTACCTCCTCTTGTCGAAGGGTTTCCTCTGAAACTCTAGCTCCAGAGACTTCGACCACATTAACCCGCAGGTTGCTTTTGGAAGTCAGGTTCATCTTCTGCATTTTGGTCTCCAAGGCTTCTATCGAAGCCTTTGCACCATCCAAATAAGAACCCGTGATGGTTCTTTTGCTGGAGCTTTCGGTAACTCCTTTGATCAATTTCAGGTCAACAACAGCCTTTTCGTTTGACGCCTGGTCAACTTCTTTTTTCGAATCCAGGCCTTCAGTAGCCTTTCTCACCCCTTCGATTGTTTTCCTGGAGATGTTCCCAGTGAAACTTCCGAAGATGGGTTTGGTGATGAAATCTTCAGACACTTCTATCATATGAATGCCAACTGGTTCGGCATAATGAGCTTATGCTTGTAGTGGGTTGGTGTCGATTTTCATTGCTGGTTTATCAGCAAATTTCAGCCTTCCTTCATTCAGTGCCTGTTGAACGAGATCCCTGAAAAGGAAACACTGTGAGGTCTTATGTCCTAAAAAATTATGGTATTTACAAAAACCTCTTTTCTTTCTCTGTTCTAAAGGAGGCAATTTGGCCCCTGGGGGCACTATCATCTGTCCATCTTTAACTAATAGATCAAATATTTCGTCACACTTGGATATGTCTAAACTATAAGTTTTCTTAGGAAATTTATCACTGCTTTTCTCAGGTTCCACAGGATTTTTTCCATTTGATGGCACCAACAATTTACAAGCATATGGTGGTCCATTTTTTAATTCAGCTAGATCGATTTTGCCTTGTTCGATATCTACAGGATCACTGTATGCCTCTGGATCGTCATCATCCATTTCAACATAAGCTACCCTTTCTCGTCTAAGAGTTTTAGTATTTTTGGCCTTTTCATCCTTAAGGCGTTCTACTTGTCGAACCCTATCAGCAAGTTGGGCCATGTCTCTTAGGTATTGTGTATCCAACTTTTTCCTAATCGAATAATCCAGGCCACCTGCTGTTATTTCAACTAATTCATGCTCAGGTACTTGGGTAAAGCATCTGACTTTGAGTAGTCAAAATCTATTTAGATATTCATCAATTGGCTCAGTGAACCTTCTTTTTACACTAGCCAATTCTTTTAGACTTATCTTGGTTTGACCCATGCAAAATTGTTCATGGAACAATCTTTCTAATTGGTTCCAGTTGTGGATCGAATTGGCTGGGAGGGTAGTGAACCAAGTAAAAGCATTTTTAGTTAATGAACTTGGGAAGTATTTGATTCTAAGGTTTTCATTATTTGCTATTTCTCCCGCCTCTATCAAATACCTAGCCACATGTTCGACAGTCGACTCTGTCGTATCCCCCGAAAATTTAGTGAATTTTGGGACTTTTCCCCTAGGTGGTAAGTCTGTTTGCAGAATATATTCTGACAATGGGGATGTAAAGTTTGGTCTATGGAAACCAACATTTATCCCGTTTTGAAGCATGATTCTCTCGATCATAGCAGTTAAATTATTATCCGCCCCATAGTTCTGGTGTCAAACTTGTTGTATTAATTCGTCAGCATTTTGGTTTTTATTTGCCAGAATAACGCCTTGATCGATTTCTCGATGGTTTCGAGGTATCTCTAATCTTGGTTGTTCTACTTCAATCCTTGGAACTTGGGGGTTTAGATTAATGGTCAAATCTTCTTCCATGATTACCTCTTGATTTAATCTTATAGGTACCCTCTGGGACTGTCGAACAACTTGGGGTAGTTGAGCAACTTGAGGCACCCCAAAGAATTCAACCATGCACGTTATTTGCGCTGTCATCTGTTGATTCGACTGCGTTGCAGTCTGAATGAGGGGATTTAGTACTGTACTTAGAGTTTGTGCTAACATCTGTACCATTTCATGGTTACTTTCGTCCATCTGTTGCCTCAAAATTGTTGTCGAAGCATTTATGAGACTTGGTATCATATGAGATGGCCTTCCTAAAAATTGGTTTCTACTGGCTCCAGATCCCTGTAATGGTAATGTAGCATTTACCAAAGGTTCTGAGAAAGTAGACGCAACATTCATAAGGCTAGCCATTTCAGTAGTTGGCATGCCATATGGCTGCTCTCGACCCATCCAGGTTGTCGAAAAGCCTGGGGGTACAGTTGATCGAGACCCTAGGTTCATCCTTGGTGGGGGTGTTCCTGAAGGACCTCTTGGACCCATATACGTATGTAAGGGTCCAGTTTGATTCATGGTTAACGCTGGCATGGATCCGACAGAAGTTGGGATAGTCCCTTCGACAACAGTAGTAACTGTTGTTCCTGTGATCGGTGGAGGTATCTCTCCATGGTTTGGCTCATTAGCCATACTATTCTCTCCGCTTTCTTTCCTAACAGTATATTTGTTGGTTATTCTACCACTCCGTAATAACATGCAATGTTATAACTGTACAGAAAAAAAAACACAATAACATAGACAATTAGCAACGTTCCACCAGGTGTGCCAATTTGTTTACCGTTGTTTTTGGTAAACAACCGCTGGTCTCCAAAAAAGGTAAGTTTTTGGTTTGCTTGCGGGATCGATCAAACTAATCTCAGAACATATGCTAATCTTTATGTAAAATGAGTGAGAAGGAAGAGCGCGCGTTCGTCTCAGGGGAGAGATGTTTAAGATTGTTGAACAGTAAATGAAAACATAAAAATGCAAGTAAAAGAAGTAAAAAGAAGTAAAAGATAACTTTGCAAGATAATGGTAAAGTAAAGTGAAAAGACTTTTATTAAGTAAAAAAGGTGTTTCTAACGTACATTGCTCTGCTTTTTATCCTTTCTCACGCAGTAGTTACTTGGATAATATTTGAGAGACTTTGTACTATAAGTTGCACACACTAAAAATTATACAAACTTCTTAATTTATACTAAAAATAGGTAACCGTCGAGGGGACATTCTCCGCTAGGATGAAGACAAGTGTCTCCTGCATGCCTCTCGACCCATAGCCTTTTGCCACGTTTCCTTCCTTTAGACGCTGATAAAAACCACCTTTCCCTCCAATAATTCAAATTTCAAAATGGCCTTCGTCCCATGTGCCAAGGCGCGAACAATTCCCTTCAGTCGAAACAACCTACATCTGCCTCGGCCGAATGAACATTTGGTCGAAGCTTTCTTATTATACCTTGGACCCTTTCCTTAATTTATCTCATGCGTCGAATTACATCTCCTGGTGTAGTTCATTTCCAGTTGTTTGGTCAAAGAGTCCAAATATAGCAAGTGTCGAATTTGGGAGCCAACAGTGGGATGGGGATGGATTCGAGAGTTGTAGATAGGTTTAAAGAATTAAAGCGTTCAGGTGTGTTTCTTGACGGGGTTGCTTACAATATCGTATTTGGTTCTTTGTGTAAATTGGGTAAGGTGGATGATGCGGTAGATATGTTGGAGGAGTTGAAATCTATGCGTATCGATTTAGATATCAAACACTACACAACCTTTATTAACGGTTTCTGTCTTCAAGGTAAACCCGATGTAGCTTGTATATATTCAAAGAAATGGAAGAGAAAGGATTTAAACCTGATGTTGTTGCTTATAATGTACTAGCCGCCGGTTTGTTTAGAAATCATCATGCTTGTGAGGCGATTGAGCTTTTGAATTGTATGGATAGTCAAGGTGTGGAGCCGAACGCTACTACGCATGAGATTATCATCGAAGGTTTGTGTTCGGCAGGCAAGATAACGGTTTGTTCAAATTCCACTATGCCATAGCGCCACTATTTGACAACATTGGCTAATAGCTAACTACTACGACCGTCGAGCTGACCAAATCATGGAGATTAAGAAAGTTGATAATATTGTTAGATTTATTAACAATCGATATTGCAGTGTCAATGTTTATGAACAAATGAAATCATTCAAGATGACATAGGATGTTCAATATAATTGTTACTTTATATTCACATTCCAAAAATACATAAACGTTATAGAATATTGTACGTTACATCAAAATTTTGATTCCAAGAATCATCTCTCATTTCTAATTATCACTATACATCATGGAAGAGAAATACAATCTAAATAACTTTGATACATTTTAGAATACAATCTAAATGCTTTTGATACAATATGATTAGTCTGTCATCTGAATTTGAGATCTAAACAAATCAAACCGACAAAATTTGTGTGAAGGATCTTAGAGAAGCTTCTTTCTCTCAAAGAATGTCTTCAAATGCCATAGTTGCAAACCAGCAACAGACAAGCAAACTGTGATAGAAAGAAAAATGAATGTAAACATCTTATTATCAGTCGTTCTGTTAAGATCTTGCATCTCTTCCTCCCTATATCAATGTCATGGAGAAAAGAACATCAAAATTCAGCAAAAAAACTCTTATTAGAATGAGTAATAAGTTTTCTCCAATGAATAATATCTGTACTACACATAAGTCATAACACTTATACCTTCCACGAAGATAAAACATCTCATCGTGGATGAATGAGACACTCTCATACAACCTACGTAACTCGTATTCCATTACCTAAAAAGGAAAAAACACTACTTTAGAAAACACATAGATCAAATCAAAAAGACATGCATGCCTACCCAACATTTTTTTATTTTTGCAGAAGGGACCAAAGTTATAGGTCTGCATCCTCAACTATGCCGCATGTTATTACGGGATAGATTTAAACGGAGCACACATACCCATTTGCCATCATATCCAATTTTTCGATCACGATATCGCAGAGATAAAATCGTGGTGAATTCCTAAGCCACCGAAATCCTCTTCTATAATACCAACCGTACGCGTGTAAATGCCAAGTCAAAAACTTACCTCAACCTGATCTTTTTTCGCAATCTTATACCAGTACTTCTCCGCCGTACCAGTTCTCCACTCAAAATCTATCGTGACAGTTATCGCCGGTTTGCGTTCCAGCACTGAAAAACAAGCTGTGTAGTCACCCGCTTCAGTTGTTGTAAATGCAAAATTACCAGAACCCACATGATTCCCAAAATGGAAATTATTCCCATAAGGTGATCGAACCTGAAAGATAATCAACCACATTACACAAACCCATCATAAAAATCACATTTTTCGAGGTTAATTCATAACATAACAACATTAATCAATACAAAAACAACAAAAGTTTCAAAATTTTGATATCAAAACGTTGAATGATCATGTCTCACAAACATACCCTGACAGTTATCTTGTGAGAATCAGGAATTGGATACCCTTCTTCACCGGGATTAACGACGGAGTAATTACCGACGGTCATGGCATTTCCTTTGATATCCTCACTGATACATTTGGGTTCACCTGATTTGAGGGTAAACCGCATTGAATTGACAGAGGTAAACAACAATGCATGGATGATAGGAACGAGAAGAAGAATTGAATTGAACATTGTGATAGTGAATTGTTGTCAATTTGGGTGGATTCGGAATTGGAAGGGTAAAGAGAGGGAGATATTTTTAAGATTTGCATGGAATATAGAAAGGAAGAAGAAAGAGAAAGGAATGTAGTGTTAACGGTTAACCGCCATGAATAGGATATTTCTTTAACTATTTTTGGGTTAGCAAATGTAGCAAATTATGAATATTTTATAGATTTCATCGGTGTGAGAGTTAATTAAATCTTCACGTCACAATAAAAAGATTTTTTTTTTCAAGATGATTTTTTAATAAAGATTATAATAAACCTAACCACCAAACAATAGAAACAAGCTCCACAAAACTATAAAAGAAAAGGCACATAAACCAAATCCGAACAAAGTTAAAACCCTCCAATTCAAAACACATGCAAACCACAAAAGACACCACAAGAATATATTTATGATTAGTTTAGAAATGGGATAAACTTTTCAAATCAGGTTGAGAAGGCACAATTTTTTTTGATAAATCTACAAAAATACTATTTTCAAGTCAGGATCATACTTATGTCTTCTACATTTTTTAGTGTCATTGATAAACTAGAAAAAACTATATCATTTTGAGATTTTCAAATCGATCAAACTACGACATGTTAAATCATTCTCAATCCCCTCTAGACCTGAAATCTTCACTCGAAAGAATAAACATCTTGAAAAGAGTCAACATATCTCTAGATAAAACAACACACCACCTCAACCACCTAAAAATCTTGTATCAGGCAGATGATGTAACTTCACAAGTCATAAAGAGATAAGAGGCTGACTCAATGGAAACCAAATAGAGAGGACAGGAAATAATTTCAGAGGACAAATAAATTCCTCTCTTAAATAAGTTATATCTAATTGAGATAGGATTTTGAAATTATTAAGAAAAAACCATCTTTAAAGAAAATATAATTAAATTAAATAGGCAGAAGGACTAACTCCACAAAAGTCATTGCAGATATATTCATGTCGGTGTTGATTTTGTCTAAGGTTAGTCTGCTCTGATACTTGATAACATCTCTCCCATTTGTTTGAATTATAAAATGATTGTGATAATGAAGAAAATATAAATATTTTTTTAAAAAAATTATAATTAATTATTTGTAAACCTATTTATATTTATATTTGTCTAAGAATTTTTTTAATATAATATATTTTGTCGTATTCGTTGCACCGTAAACAATGGTCACCAACATTAACACTTTTATCATTAAGTCTAGTATGAGTTGGTAGACATTGTAGGCAAGTCTCTAAACAAAATTCTTCCACTTCAATTGTATTGAAAGCTAACAAATCACCCACAAGTTCTATTTTGCTTTCAAGTGGCCATTGTTTGTTAGTTCTCAACTTCTTTTCTAGGGAGTTAGAAAGCCTTTAAACTCTTTTGTTGCGAGCTTTGTCGTCCACTAAAGGGAATTCGTCATTTTTATCAATTTTATTCTCAATCAAGGACATGGTTAAAAAATTGATCATATAATATCTATACTATATTGTACTATTTACAAATAGGGTGAACAATAATGTTTAAATTTTTTATTTTTTTCCATCTTTTTCCTTTCTCTTTAAAATAATTTTGGTTAATAGAATATAAATATTTAGTTAATAAAACATATAATCCGGTTAATGTGTCTTGACATTAAAAATTGAGAAAATAAAATTGATTAATTGAGTGTAGTAAATTAATTAATATAGATCATAATTTGGTTAATATAGATCATAACTTGGTTATTGTGTTCCTAGACATTAAAAAATAAAACCTTACATAGTAAATCACTTATAGTTAATGGTATCTATAAGATTGATTAATACATATAATAATTTAGTTAATGAGTTTTCAAATATAAAAGTGTATTTAAGTAATAAAATAATATTGGCTAATGAGTGTAAAGATTGGTTAAGACATTTTATAATTGGGTTAAATAGGTAGAGGTCTCTATATGTATCATAATTCAATTTTAATCTCTCAAAAAATTCCTTCAAACAATGGTTTTTTTAATGTTTTCCGTCCATAATTTTAGTCTCTTCCATTAACTTTCATTAACGAAAGCTGACGTGGCATGCCATGTAGAAGACTGACTGTCAATAAAAGTAAAAAATTGTCACTAAAACTATCTTCAAAGATGAAGATTCATGACAAACCTCAAAACTGTCACTAGAACCCAGAAACAGTCACTAAAACTATCTTAGAAGATTTTCATGACAAAACCCAGAAATTGTCACTAGAACTCATAAACTGTCACTAAAACTATCTTAAAAGATGAAGATTCATGACAAACCCCATATTTTTTTCACTAAAACTCATAAACCATCACTAAAATTATTTATGAAGATTATGATTCATGACAAAACCAAAAATCTGTCAATAAAAGTATTTGAGAAGATGAAGATTCATTTCCAAAACTCAAATTCCATCACTAAAGCCCATAAACCGTCATTAGAAATATCATAGAGGATGGATTTTCATGTCAAAAACTCAGAGCTCGTCACTAAATCTTAGAAACCGTCACTAAAAGTATCTTAAAAGACGAAGATTCATGTCCATAAATCCAGAATCTGTCACTAAAGTCTAAAAATGGTCACTAATAGTATCTTATAAGATGAAGATTCATGTCCAAAACCTAGAATCTGTCACTAAAGCCTAACAGTCGTCATTAAAAATATTTTAGAAGATGAAGATTCATGTCCAAAACCCATAATTTGTCACTAAATCCTAGAAACATTCTCTAAAAATATCTTAGAGGATGAAGATTCATGTCAAGAATCTAGAATACATCACTAAAACTATCTTCCTTTAATTAAAGATTCCCACTATTAAAAAATATTTCTTTAATTAAAGATTTCCACTATTATTATGAATCTTCAAATCAATTATCATTCATATTAGAATACTAATTTAAAACCATGGTTATAAATTAATCATATTAAGAGTTGTCATTTTAAGATTCATTGTTACTAAGAATCATGGTTACGTTGAATGCTAACTTTAGTGACAGTTTTTGTTGTCCGTAGGTAAAATTATTTTTCTGTCATAAGAAACTCTTCCACGGGCCATGTCATGTCAGGTCTCGTTAAAAGAAGTTAATAGAAGTGACTAAAAGTATGGACGAAATACTTTAGAAGAATCATTGTTTGAAGGAAAATTTTAGAAGGATTAAAATTGAATGTTGACTTATTTACAGGGACTAAAAACAAATTTAATCCTTTATAATTTAGAGAAAAAAAGGGTTATACAATGATAATGTAAATTAATTTTACACTGTCAACCAATAAAGACCATGTATGCCGCCACATCATGCATATATTTTAAAAAAATTAATGACATGACAAACTGTTAGTTTTCTATCCAGTACATCTCCATTAAACCCTTATAATTTAATATTTGGAAATATTATATTTTTTTATTGGTTAATGAGATAGAGAAAGTGATTAATAAACTATAAGAAAAATAAGTAATTAACAATGTATATTTTTATGATTAATGCAATGATAAAATTGATTAATAGCATAATATAATATTTGTGATAAAATAATTTTAAAAAATATTTTTTATTATAAAAATATTTTTCAATAAAACAATGTGCATTGTATAAATACGATAAACAATATTTGATGTAATTATTAGTGTCACTTTTGGGTTTCAACATATCATTGTTGTTTTAGATAATGAATAGTATCGATGGATGTTATATCATTATAAAGAATGGACCATCTCGACATTAATCTCGATGATGTTAGAAGTAATTCTTGTTCATAAGTTGAATATTCAAAAGTAGTATTTTGACTTAGAAGCAGAAGCTTCTGAGGCTGTTGTTCTAGAAGTTGTGTTTAGCTTTTGGGGTCTATTTTATTTTAGCTTTGTTAGTTGTGCCTACATGGAAAATTTAGTTTGTGTATTTAAATAAGTTAGTAACCAATTTTTCATAACGTGAATTTATAAGAGATTTTCACATTAAAGTTTCTCTCTCTAAAAAATTTGTTACAATCGTTTTCTCTCTCTTTTCTTCCTCTTTCTTCTTCCATCTTCATCTTCATCTTCAACCTTGTGCTCCAAAAATTGGTATCAGAGCTCTGGCTCAATTCACATGGAAACACGTGTGTATGTGAGGCGTGTGTAATTGATTTCTTTTTTCTTGAATCTGCATTAAATTTACGATCGATATCATAACAAAATTGCATTTCTTGATTTTGAGGGATCGGGAAACACAAGTGTTTTGGTGAGTTACGTTTGAGTTTTAGTACATCAGAACGAAGATGAGTTGCATAAAAAATTTGAATACAAAGTTTCTGATGTTTGATAGAAAGAATTAGAATCAGTGGATAATTTAGATGCGTGTGTTGTTCGATGCTCAAGATGTTCTTGATCTCGTCATTGAAAGTTACGTTCTGGTTGCAGCGGATGCGATGGAAGAACAGAGAAACACATAGAGAGATACAAGGAATAAAGATTAGAAAATGTTGTTCTACGTCCATTAGTGTGTGGATGCGAACATGTTTAAAAAAACCGTTGATTTGACGATGATAAATGTTGTGTGGGATATACTAACACGGTGATACGACGATGATGTGTTAGTGAAAAAAGGTGAAGCTTTAGTCTCTATGTAAGAAATATAAGAATCTCAACATGAAGAATAACGAGAAGGTACCTGATTAGATCTAGAGTGATTTTGATGACAAATAAAATGAAATCTTGTGGAGAAACTATTTCTGAACAAGTAATCATTGAGAAGGTATTGAGATCTCTTACTCCTCAATTTGATTAAATTGTTGTAGCAATTGAACATTCTAAAAATCTAAGCACCATGAAAATTGAAGAGCTGCAAAGTAGTCTAGAGGCACAAGAGTTGCGCCTGACTAAGAGAACCTCTAAAAGAGAGGACGGACAGGCTTTGCAAGTTTATTTTTTCAAGAAGGAATAGAAGCATTCTTGGTTAGAAGCCATGTGAAAATTTGGAACTGACAGGATGAATGTCATATACCATGTCACGAAACCA